ACTTAGAACAAGCTTAGCAAAGCACAGGGACCGTGGTTCAATCCCCCAGCACCACATGCCAGCCAGCCCCGGCCCCTGGTGGGCTGAGCTGGCCACACACACACACACACACACACACACACACACAAATAAATAAATAGAAATCTGCAGAGAGCTTTTTAAAGTACTCCAGCCATGTGTTCTGGGGGAAAATTATGTTGCTACTGTTCCATGTCTATGGAGAGAGAGCATCTCACTAATTTGGAGCAAAATTCTCACCTAATTTTTAATGATAAGATAGCTACAAGATGGGGAGGATGAGATTCTGCTGAATTGGCCATGATATTTCCCCACCTAAGCTGCTGCTATAGGCTCCACTTGCCTCTGCAGTGGCTTTCAAGCCTGGGCCACTTGAAGGACTGCGTCAGCCACTATGTTGAAGGCAATGTCCCTGTGGAAGGCAGGATGTCTAAGGAGACTGAAGATTGGGTAAGAAAGTGTGAGTCTCCCAGTGTTCCACTTCACACATGCATGGCCTTTGCAGATCCTACTGACTACTATAATATACTGTGAGCCATCTCAAAGAGAAAGCCTTTCTCTCTTCCACTGCCCTAGATGAAGAAATAAAACAAAGTCTTTAATTCTTTAGATAAGAATATTATGTCCTCCTTATTGTAACTCCTGTCTAAATCTCCAGCTCATGCAGACTTCTCAACATACTTTGTGATAAGCTGCATAGTAATCAATTACCTTTTCTCACACATATACCACTTTCCTCCAGAGCTCTATGCATTTTCTCTGTTTGGACTCCCTCCCCTTTTTAAATTACCTCCCCCCTTAAAAAAAATTGTCCTTTTTGTCCTTCTAGTCTCAGTTCAAGCCTATGACACACTCTTTGTTGCTGCCTGGAAGCTAAGCTAAGTGTTTTCTTCCCTTTGGTCTGATATTCCTCCTTCCATCAGCTACTTTGTTTAATATGATCATGGTATCTGGAGCATAGTAGTTTTAAAATGCACACTTAACTAATAATAAATGCAGTATTAAAGAGGATGCATGTCATTTAAGTTGTTTAGAGATAATAATTTAGGATCATCAAAGAAACCAAAGTAAAGCTAAAGAAATTAATCTACTACCTCTGGTATATAACACAATTCATATGTAAGGCAATCAGGGAATATGGCAGACAGATACATTTGGTAGAATTTGAAACTGTAAAAGCAAAGAATGGCCAGAACATAGAATACGAAGTGATGTCCATATAGATTCTAAAATTGAAAGGAAAATTCATTAAAGGAGCTCATTAAACCCCAGGTCTAGCTGCAATATTCCCACTGAGGGCGGGAGGATTCTGAGCAGTAAGGAGCCACCCCATCTCAGCATCACGACACTGATCTTCCTGCTGATCTTACATCATCTGAAAAGGTACGTGAGGAGGTGAGATCTAAGGGGCCTTGAAACTGAGGACCCAGAAGTGAGAAAAAAAACCCTTAAATATCTACAGACATCCTCTCCGACAGTTGTTATTGTGTCTTTCCCCTCAACCACTTGTCCACTTGGTATTTGGTTATTATGGAAAACTTTTAAATAATACTTAAATTTCTGTGATAAGACATTCTACTTTTTATTCTAAGTAAAATTTTATTCTAAGGAAGTTGGGCGTAGAAACCACTAGTTTTTACTCTTCAAGTAACATGTGGCTCAACCTCCCAACCATGGTAAACACCCTTCTCCCTGATGAGTTCCACCATGACACATTTGACTCACAGTTGTAGTTGTCTGACTTTCACTCTGAAAAAAGATAGTGTATAACACAACAAAAAATAATGAGGAGCTTATGAGATGCAAAAGGTCTGTCTTCTCACATTTTTATTCCGGTGCATGTACAACTGAGTGAATGATCCCAAAGCCAAAATGATGAACAGGTGTAAGCAGGGAGAAAGTCTGAGATATACCAAAATAAAACTGAAGTGAATTGAGACATCCGAATGTAATGGGATAGTGTAGAGACACTTCGGATGTATTTCAATAGTACTATGTTGCTCAGAAGGCAGAGACATGACCGACCTGAGAGAGCTCTACAGGCTGAACCAGTAGAAACATGATATATATATATAGCCTTGTCTGGGGAGAGAGTGGCTGTGGTAGTGAGGGAACGATAGCCAAGAACTGTATTTTTAATTCACAGTCAGAGACTTACAAGTGTTGTACTTGTTTTTAGGAACACAAAGTACATGTGGGTAAAGTGAGGACTGCAGTAGCAGCAGGTGCTTTAAACACAAGTACCAAGATGCCACGTGGCTCGCTGGAAACTCACGCTCCCAAATCCCTTATTCCCCAAATAGAAATGAGTGGATCCAAGGACAGTCCTTCTAACACTGGGCTCCAACCATTTTAACATAAGACTCTTTGTATCACTTGCTATAATTATCAGCCTGAAGCAGGACATACATGCTTCCTCAAAGTAGACAGAAAAGATGTGCCCTTGGATGTCAGTCACATTGTATGTACCTCCATCGGAAAAGTAATGTTCAAGTGTCTTTCACCATGAAGTTGCACTGCTTCCCCAAATCATCCTCATCAGCCACACCAGAGGCACATTATTTATAAAAATCTGGGATTCATTTCATTTCCACATTTAGAAAGCTCACAGGAAAGTCAACTGCCCAGACAGGCCACCGTAGAGGTAATTGTTAACATTATGAATAGATCATTCTTTCAAATACTTGAGTTACTCAGTATGTGTTGTTATGTGTATATCCATGACTAACTACTGGAAGGACAGACCTATGAAAATGGTAGGCGCCATAGTCATTGCATTACTATTGTGCCCATATTACAGATAAATAATTTGAATATAAAAATGTGAATAGTGAACCAAAGGTGACAAAGCCAGTAAGAGGTAGAGCAAACATTATTCATGCATCTATGCCTTCAGTGCCTAATACCTTCATGTTCTTACTCTATCACATAGTCCCTCTTTTTTATTTCTCTGTCATTTTTAGCATTATTTTAAATATCATAGATATGGGAAGATACATATTTAAAAGGCACAAATTGATTAAGAGCAAAACTTCCACTGAAAAGGCTCAACTACTTTGTAAAGGGTAGACGTACAGATTTTCCCATGTTATACTGTTATTAGTTATTAGATTTTTTATAAGTTTTAAAAGTGTTACATAAAAACCACCTATTTTCACAATGTTTGTGCTTTTGATAAAATATTGATTTAAAAGGTCCAAGTTAGATTCATAATTAGAAAATGCATAGGATGTTTTAACCTTATTCTTGATCTTTCAATACAAGTTTAATAGCAGCATAAATATGAAATATTCCAAGGATGTCTGAATGCATCCTCCAGTTTCATTTAATCAATAAGTTAGTGTAAGAAAAGTATATATAATGAGATCTGATTTGGGTCTAAAAGAAGAATGAGTACTCTGATTTCTCTTCAGATCATATAAAAGAAGAATGATATGGATCTGGATGTGCCAATACACAAATTATCTCCTGAATAATTTTGAAACATGTTTTACTTCTATTTACATGATTTGGAGTTGTTCCCTCAGCAAGAACCCTCCTGAAACTGAATTGGCGATTGTTTTTCTGAGAGCTCTTTGAACCAATCAGGACTCATATAATCTTATGGCTTGTAGTTAAGGAAGCAGCAGGATTCTTCATTTCCCGTTTATGGTTCTTCCAATCCGACGTTCAAACTGATAAACCCAGGATAATTTACATATTTATTAATTAACATAGAACTTGGAGAAAAGATTAGAGGATTGAGAAGGAAAACACTTGAGGAGCATAGAGAGAAGGAAGATCTAGGAGAAAGGCAAGAGTCAAGGGCAGCAAGTCCAACAGGGCAGGAAGGCAGGAAGGTGAACAGTGAGGAGTGACTGAGCCCCAGAAATCATGAGGCCACAGATCCTCAAGAAGAGTTGTTTCAGTGGGTGGAGGACACAGAAGCCACGTGGTCAGGAGCATTCTGACAAAGCCCTGAGTGAAACCAAGGTCAGCCAGGTCAAAGCAACCCTAAAGCAGGTTACTTTTGTTAGAAACTCAGTAAGGCAGATTTTATTTTATTTATTTTTTATAAATTTTTATTAATTTTCATGAGAAATAGCAATGAGACAGTTTCAAAACAGGTTAGTAGAACAGTTACAATAATTCATGCATTGCATATTGTTGTCTTCATAGTTATGCACAGTACAAGATGCAGACATGATCTCTTGTCTAAAATATTAGTACAAATCTTTCTTCTCATCGAACTAAGAGAAAGTAGCTGTACATCTATTACTACTATTTTGTATATACATATTTTTTTCACTACAAACTGGTCTTTCATTTATATCGTCCTTTTTTGTTTTGTTTTGTAGGAGATGGGTGTTCCATTGCTGTTAGAGAAGCTGTATCTGGAGAAAAGTAAAGCAGCTTTTCGTAGGTCTTTTTTTTTTTTTTAATTTTTTTCAAGAAAACAAATGACATTCTTAATGTAAATCCTTTTTAGACTACATATGCTCTATAATTTGACCTAAAATTTCTTAATCAGGGTAGATGTCACTGAGTGTCCCATCCTTATCCTAAATTAGATTGGCAATTATTAAATTCAAGTAAAGGAACCAATAAGTTAGTGTAAGAAAGTTACATATAATGAGACCTGATTTGGGTCTAAAAGAAATGAGAAAGACTGTACATTAAAATATGGATCTGGGTGCGCCAATACACAAATTCACAGACCCATATCCTGAATCATTTTGAAATATGTTTTACTTCTACTTAAATGATTTGGATTTATTCCTTCAGCAAGAACCCTCCTGCAACTGAATTGGCAGGTTATTTGTTTTTCTGAGAGCTCTTTGAACCAATGAGGACTTAGAGAATCTTATGGCTTGGGTTTCTTTTGATGAGAGTCTAGAGAAGTCATGGGTAATAGTTTGTTATGTGCCAGGAACCACTAGTGTTTCAGTTGTACAAGGTCAGGTCTTAATTTAGCCACCAACTGGATACTAATTTTAGATACACAGAGGAACACATGGGCTCCAGGGCACTTCCTCTGGTTTAGGAAAGCAAATCCCTGGATGAGAGTGACAAGATGATCATTCCAAAAGGTGAGATTATGAAATATTTAATCCGTACCTTGACAACTTGTATATGGAAGAATTCAGTATCAGAAATATTTTAAGACTGTGATGCCTATTCATTCTTTTCAATCGATTGTCTCAGAGCTTGCGTGTGTAGGCCCTTTTAAATTATAGAATAAAGCCAGGGTGGTTTCATTTATTTATAGAATATCAACTGAATTGCATAATATTAGCCATAAAAATGTTATATCCTGACAAAACAGGTCAAAGATTAATACATTAATGAATCAATATGGGTACTACAGATCCCAGGAGGGGATTTCTGAGAAAAAAATTAAGTGATTTTTGTGAATTATTACAATAAAACTCTACCATGATCTTTTCATTGCTGTTGCAAAAATAGATTCGCTATGTTCAGATCTGAAAATAAATATTTTACATCAAAATGGAAAAAATGAATTTAAGAAAATATAGAATTCTGAGTCTGAAAAATCCTTGAAATTGATTTGTTAGTTGTCACTCATCTGGTTCATAATCGAACACCTTGTAAGGATCTTTCTCCACCTAAAATGATTAGATTTCCCTGAAATAGCAGTGGCATGGACAAGGCAAGTTCTGTCATTGCTTTGTGTTGAGAACATTAAATTATTATAATAAAATATCATTTTATATTTTTTCATAGTACTAAAATATTAAATCATTAACTCAGTATAACAATCATTTACTGAGAATCTACTGTATGTTTGATTTGCTAGACCTTGGAAGGGATGGAACAAATTGGTGTTGTCTGAGGCAGAAGTCTAGAATACATTGCTTAAAGGCAGCAGACTCCCTAAAAGGCACCAATCCTATGGCAAACACTGAATGCAGACTTTTGAACAGATGAATAGAATGTTCAGAAATAGGCAAACATTAGGAACTGGCAAGTGAATTCTTTTGCGGTATCTTTTTAACTAATAGAAGAAATGCATGGAATAGAATCTGTAATTCAACAAGGGATTAGACAATTACCTCTTGATGATGGTCTGGTTATCAAAAAGGAGACATGAACACTAGATGTGGTGTCTTTCAGAGGATTTGTAACTGGATAAACAGCTTTTCTCCAAGGGTACTAAATAACAGATCGACTCAATCCGGAGCCTCTGTCAAACACTAAAGTCTCTCCAACATTTATCATTGTCAGTGGAGCGTAAGGACATATATGACATACTTATTAGCTCTGCAGATAGAATACTTGAAGGAATAAAAAATTCATTAGATCTTAGCAAGTCGGAATAAGTTGAGACTTGCAAAAGATGAAATATAATAGAATCAAATAATCCTCAGAATTAATTACACTTCAAATAATGTGGAAAATATAATTTGTGGAACTAGGGGTAATAAGAACTCAAGTTGAATATGTAATACAATAGCCCCAAACTTCATGTGATATCGGGCTAGATTTACCAATATATATTGTCCAAGAAAAGGGAGGTGGTCCTACCCTCTTAGTGGTGTGTTGGTCTGACTATACTGGTTAGGCTGCATTTAGAACCTGCAGTTCAGAGCTACTTCTAGAAAGAGATGGGTAAATAAGTGTGTTTACAGAGAAGTAATCAGATGGTGAAGGAGGCTAAGCCATGTCATGAGTGGCGTGCAAGAAGGCTTAAGGGAAATTGGACAGTCTTCTTTGGTTTAAAGGGATCTCATATCCCAGGGAAAGAACATCTTCTTAGTGTGATTCTGGGGAAAACACAAACAATGCTGACAAGTAATGGTTTGAAGGGATGAACTGGACTTAAGTGATTTTCATAATTGTAAAGCTGGCCAAAAATGAAAAGCTGGGGGGAGGGGTGTTAATCTTGGCACTTAGGATTAACTGACACTGGGCGACTACTGGACAGTAGGAGGTGAGATTTATAGGTAGGGCTGCCTGATAGTTTTTAAGCTCTGGAATTTGCAGGTTCCAGGAGAAATAGGCAGGAGGGAAAAAGAGGACCTATCCAAGGAGGGAATAAAATCAAAACCGCTGAAACATACTAGAATGCCACGTCCCCATTCCAGAAGAGATCAGTCATTGAGTGATAACAGTCACTGTTTACTGTGGCCTATTGGACTTGGCTAACTACATAGTTCGTGCAGGCAGGCCAGGAGCTGAACAGTCAACTGCTACATTCAACCACTTTTTGCAGAAAGAAATTAATTATATATTATTTAAGTTTTGAACAATATTCACAATGCAGGCATTTTATATGCAACACAATACACTATGCTCAGGAATAAACATGTTTAGAGAGAAAATATATACACATATAAAATGACTTTTTAAAGTACTGCCTTTTTAAAAACTGTTATGCATAATTAAAGCAGCCAAAAAAAATTTTTAATTACCCTCCACCTTAGTTGTGTAAATCAAATGTAGCTTTTTTTCTAATCTGTAGCTTTATCTTCTTTGGAAACTGCTACTCACTAATTAGTGAAAAATAACTTTTAGTTTCATTCAGACAATATGATAATTTAGGTTAGTCTTTTGATAATTTAGGTTAGGCCTGTGCTATGATAAATCAGGTAAATGCACCCATCTTTCAGATTTCTGCTCATTCCCAAGCCAAGAAACTGCCCCTGTGACAGTTAAGTGGGGTTGCCACCTAGATCAGCTTGGGAGCTGTCCAGTAATTAGTAGAGCACACTTGGGGTGTGTGTAGGTGAATCATGAAGGTGTGACTTGGGGCTCATATCTGCTCCCTCACTTTTCCCCTCTTGTGCTGTTCCTGGCTGTACTTCCAGGTCATTGCCATGAACTAAGTGTCTTTGCTCCACCCTGCCTAATTACTATGATGTCCCTTAGAGCCAGTACCCAGAGACTGTATCCCATGAACCTGTGAGCCAAATTGGTGGTATTTCTGAGGTCTGGCAGTTTTGACAATTTGGCAGTTGATTTATAAACAGTTTTCACTTGCTTCACTATTAATTTGGGCACATTCCCCTCTTCTCATTGTCACTATATTTGTGAACTAAGCAACAGTGATGTTAACAATGTGTAACACTAAAACCATGCTTGAAATGCCTATCAATTTGGTCCTCTAAATGCATACTACTTCTAACATCATATCAGTTATTGCTATACTCTCTTTAAAGTAAATGTTTGTTGAAAGAAGGTAATAAAAGAAAATAAGAGTCAAGAAAAAAATGTCATTGGATTGCCGTGCTACAATGTTATATATCGTTTGATTTCTAAATTTGTGTAATTGTTTTTTCATATTCTATAGAGATTTAAAGTTTAGAATATCCATGGTTGTTGGAAAATGCTAGTTCCGTGTTATGTCTAAGGCATTTGATACTCAGACAGATAGTGATATTAAGCTCAACTGTCTCTGTTACAGGGCAATAATATCATTAAGCTTCTCTTCTGGATGGTTAACAACTAAAGTTTGCAGACTAAAAATTAGAGAAAAATAAGGGCTACAAGAATGGCCAATATTTTGGCCCTACCCCTTCAGGGTCAGAGAGGACTCAGGATATAAGAGAACCTGTGCTGTGATATCCCATAACTCAGTGGTGTCCCAAATTTTCTGTTCAAGGAAATTATGGGGTCACAGAGGAAAGTGATCAGTGATGTATAGTAGGCCTAAGCAGAGTCACCTAGAGAGAAAAAAAAATCTCTCAGGCTTTCACAGAGAGCAAATTGGTCAAGCAATGGCCATGACTCATCCACATGACAACAATGACAAAGGATCTACAAGCTGCTCTACGTGGTTTCAGGACAAATCCTGAGGGGATTTGACTGACCGACCTTGTCAGATACAAAAGTTACATTTTTAGTTATGTAGGTCTAGCTTTAATTTGGTCTTAACCATCCAGCAAAAAAGTATAATCATGAGGTATGAAAAGTAAAGCCATATTAATATGCTGAACTATAAAAGGCGCACGTCAACAACTTCTGACAGTTGCCAGTTCTGCTGATAATGCACAATTATTATAGACTATTGGCCTATATTAGGAAATTTTGCTGAATTCAAGCATCTACAATATTTTAACTGGTGTCAAGTATGAAAAGGTCCTTTAAAGACTTCTCCAAATACAGCTTCTCTAACAGTAATGGAACACCCATCTCTGACAAAACAAAACAAAACGTGGGATATAAATGAAGGACCATTTTGCAGTGAAAAAAAATATATATATATACATATATATATATATATACAAAATAGTTAGGATAGATATACAGCTACTTTCTCTTAGTTCAATGAGAAGAAAGACTTATACTAATATTGTTTAGACAAGAGATCATGCCTGCATCTTATACTGTGAATAACTACTATGAAGACAACAATATGCAATGTATTAATTATTGTAACTGTCCTACTAATGTTTGGAAACTGTCTCATTGCTATTTCTTTCTCATTAAAATTAATTTAAAAATTAAAAAAATAAAGAATATCTTTACATTAGTTGTGATAAGGGCACATGTACTTCTCATGCCACTTTGCTTTACTACTGTTCATTCTGTACCTTTTTTTTTTTTTTTTTTTTTTTTTGGCAGAATCAGGGATTGAACTCAGGCCCTTGCACTTGCCAGGGAAGCACTTACTCTACTAAGCCATCTCACCAGTCTCTATTCTGTTACGTTGTATTACCCTGTAAATAGGTATGCTTGTGCACCTAAAGCTCATTCTTGAACTGTTGTCATTTTTCAAGGGCAATAGATATCTTTCTCTCATATTTGAATTTAATTTAGAAATCAGCAGTATAAAGTAAAACTTTCTACTGTTGTAATATGAAACCAGGAATAAGTAAACCAATATGACAGTTTCTACCATTAATGTATTTACATAGAAATTAACCATTAATCTGTGCAACCCCAAATTGAAAGTAGTCTGGCAAAAATATAATGTAACCTAAAGAGAAGATAATGCTATCTGTTTACTTGGCTAATTTTAAGAGTGATGAATATTTGATCATTCCATTATTCATTCATTCGTTCAGCCAACACAGAACTGAATCCTCACCAAATGCTGGGTATCATACTTAATGTATAGAGACCAATTTGTCCAGTTAGCTTTTTTAATTTTTAAATGTCAAGTTGCATATCTTTGAGGCCACAAAAAAGTAGCATTTGTTTTCTGGACTACAGTTGTTTGCATGTATGACTGCATATGTGTACATTGTCTATATGTGTGTACTTAATTGGTAGAACATGCTATGCTATTCTTTTTTTTAAAAAAGATGTTGTTCAAACTGATCTAGTTCCTCTAACATCTACAGATTTTCTCTCTAGTAGGATAGACAAATGTCATAAGAAGGGTATTGCAGTAACTTATAAGTAAGAGTTCCCTATCACTATAGAGGAACCCAGTTCTTCCCTCCCCCATTTTATTTTATTTTATTTTTATTTTTTCCATAATTTTATTGACAGACAAATATTAATGAGACAGTTTCAAATCAAATTGGTAGGACAGTTTCAATAAATAACACATTACATACTGTCTTCTTAGCAGTTATTTGCTGTACAAGATGCAGACATAGTATCCTGTTTACAAACACTATTACAACAAATCTCCCTCTAAGAGAATGTAACTATATATCTATCCTAGCAATTTTGAATACACAGATACAAAATGGACATTCATTTATATAATCCCCTTTTTTGTTGAGTTCTGTCATTTGAATATTATAGGTTTGTTAACTCAGCAAAAATATTCTAAAAGAGTCCAGTAATCCATAATAGTATTGGGTCTTCCGCTTGACTGGCAGTGTCAGAAATTGTTGACCAGAGTTCCCTACAGCTCAACATAACAACATGGCTTTACTTCTTATACTTCGTTTTTATACTTTTCTGCTGGATGGTTAAGATCAAGATAAAGCAAGACCTATGCAACAAGAGTAGTAGCTTTTGGGTCTGATAAGGTCAGTCAAATCCCCTCAGGATTTATCCTGAGACCCTATACATATCTCAGATTGTAGATTCTTTGTCAGTGAGGAGCCCAGTTATCATGGGGAGCAATATCTCTCTCTTTGAACACTCTTGGAGGCTAATTGGCTTTGTCGCTGCAATTGGCCAAATGAAGCCAAATGTGCTTTGTATCATACTGTCCATTGTTTAGCATTTCTAATGAGCAATGAATAGGTTTTTTTAAATACAGTGATTATGGCATTATTGATTAGCAATACATGAGATTGCATATTATTTTGAAATATGTTAAATGTAGACAAATAAAATATTAACATTTATAGAAAATTTGTGATCTGAACCAATAGGGGAACCCTACAGAAGTGAATACGTTTACATTTCAACTTCTATCTTATTTGAGTAAGTGTAAAAAAAAAAAAGAGTTCTTTAAAAATGTATAATCTGCCACAATTATGTAGTTTGGTTTCATTTTGTTGTACCTATTATGTGAATTCAGTATATTTATTTTACTTTTTCCTTACTCTTAACATATTATTTTTGTTACAGTTTTTAACTGAGTGTGGACTGTTAAAATTATATAGGACCAGTGTCTTATTAATAAGATTAACATATTTTGAAGAGCCACAAGAAACCCATGACAAAATAAATGTGAATGTACCTTCCAAAACATGTAGAAAAATTTCTTTCTGCATTTATTGTGTAGTAATTGTTTTAATACTACAGTATAGAAATTTTTCATTTAAAGGAACATACCATGAAACATTTGAACTGATGAGCCACAAAACTGTAGTTGTGGGGCCAGAGAGATGGTTCAGTGGAATAAGCACTTCCCTGGCAAGCGCAAGGGCCTGAGTTTAATCCCTGGTTCTGCAAAAAATAAATAAATAAATAAACTTTAGTTGAGTTTTTTTCACTTTTTGGTGTGATAATTATACATTTAAGTTTAAATAGCTTGCTTAATGACCATTTTTAAATTCAAGCACTACCACTGGTCACTTTTGTATGGTACACTAAAATTATGTTATTTGCAGTGTAAGTGTGTCAAATTCTTTTCCTTAAGGTGCATAGTAAATGAACAGATAGTCATAGGCTAGTGTTTTGTAATGTATTACATTTCTAACCTGCTACAAATGTTTGCAGCGAGAAAAGCATTGAATTTTTCTACTGATCTCTAAAATCATGCTAACCTTTACAATAAAGCATTCTAAATAATTAAAAAAAAAAACAAAAACAAAAAGCAGCCTGTGCCCCCAGAGGCACAAGTGTCTAGAAGTGGGATTTAGAGGGTGATGGGTCATGGGGTAAGTGCACTGATGAGTTTGTCTGAACTCATTAGGAGGTGAGGCCTGGTTGGAGGCAGGGGGTTGCAAGGTGAATTGCTTTGAAGGGGTACATCATTGCTGACTCTTGCTCTGCCTGCTTCCCTGCTGCCTTCGGAAGCCACTTTACCCCAGCACACTTGAGGTTTCCACCTCAGAGTTGGCCAACCCTGGTCTCAGACTGTGAGCCAAAGTTAACCTCTCTTCCATTCAGTTGCAGGTGTTGAGTTTTGTCCCAGGGATGTCCCTACTGCAAGCCATTGATCTGAATCACCACTCTGTGATATAGCAGCATAAAAAAACTAAAAGAGCATAGCCACCCAGTTAACACAAGAATTATGACTAAATTTTATTTGCAATAATTTTATAATATCTTTAAAATTACTTCTAAATGGTCAAAGTATAGAAAATGAGGATGAATATCATTTGGCATATAAGTATATTTTGTTAACAGAATCAAAGAATGAAATTTCCTTGTTTAACTCTTGCTCTTTCTCTGATAGGATAAATCCCACTGATTCTCTCTAGGACTTTTCACTAGATGAGCTCAGCAATCAAGATCCATATCATTTTCAAGGTAAAAGAAAAATTCCTGTGAATCAAGGTCCTGTGTTTCATAGAATAGAGACTTGTAGTTCCTTCAGAAACTTGGGGTTTGGATTTTGGTTTAACTTGTACAAATTGTAAAGCAAATCAAATTTTGCCATAGTGCTCTTTCTTGGATCCTCTACTAGCTCCAACCAGTTCTCAGCCTTGGATTTTCTCCATCATCCCATGTTATTTTCCCCATTCTGTTTGCACTAACTCTCCCAAGGAATCCTTGTTCTGTGCTGATTGTTAGTATGGTGATATCCACATTGTACAGGGAACATTAGAATAACCATGCGCCCTAAAGGACAGCGTCTCCCACTGTTATAAAAAATGACACTGACACAACAGGTGCTGGAGCAGTGTGATATTTATGGACACACGGCTCTTCCTTGCACCATAGAGCAACTGTCCTCTGCTCAGCCCACTCTCAAGGCCAACCCTGTTACGGACTCACAGACATTGTTCTGATTTTGTTATTCCCAAGACAGTGTTAGGAGGCAGGGTGATGAACTTGGATATAATCAGGAGCAAATCACCCAAGCAATTCATAAGGATCACAGTTGTATTTGTCCTGTTCAGGGAAAAGAAAAACTGCACTTCCATGTCATGGGTACTACCATGTTCCAAAGGACACCCAGAAGGGTGTCAGACTTCTCAGTTGCCTTGACAGTAAAGATTAGCATGAATGAAGGGTTGGAAGTAGATGGGGGAATCTCATGCGAGGAAGCATCATGTAATGATGTTCACTCCAGCGTCACACCTTGTGACACCCCAGCCTCCTGACTACTTCGGTCAGGCACCAGCTGGTATGTTGATCCTATTTTTTGGACAGTGATGTTTAAACTTCGAAACAAAAAGTACAGAATGAAAGCAAGGTTGGGACATCTCTGACCACCCTTAGCAACACAAAACCTAATTGCACAGAGCCAAATAAAAAAGATTTATGTGTCTTTGGAAGCTATTTTTTATTTTTGGAAGTTATTGTCATCAAGAGTTGGCTGTTAAAAAGCAGGATCAGAGTGTTTTCCTTTAAAGTCAACAGGCTTTAAAGGGATATTTTCCCGTAGCTTCTGAAAGATCTTAGAAGTGAAGGTACTATGCGCTCAGACTACGTCAGCTTTGCGATAACACCAGGCAGGTATTTTAACCTCTTGAAGCCTGAGATTCCACTTTTCTACAATTATCTACATTACCCACAACACAGCATTAGAGTAAGCACATAAAACAATGCAGGCAAAGTGCTTTGAAAAATGCTTAACACAAAGCCAGCACTAATTATGTAATTTATGATTCTTATTTATGATAAATATATTCTAAAATCTACAAGATTGCTACACTCTTTCACTATCTAAATTTTGGCTTTACTTTTTATACCTCGTTTTTATACTTTTCTGCTGGATAGTTAATACCAAGATAAAGCAGACTATTTTGTATCTGTATATACAAAATAGGACAGATATACAGCTACTTTCTCTTAATTCAATGAGAAGAAAGATTTGTACCAATAATGTTTGGACAGGATATCATGTCTGCATCTTGTACTATGAATAGCCACTACAAAGACAATATGCAATGTATTAATTATTGAAACTATCCTAATTGGTTTTGAAACTGTCTCATTGCTATTTGTTTCTCAATAAAATTAATAAAAAAATAAAATAAATTTTGGATTTGATTTATTCCATCTATAAAATAGATTAATAATTGCTGATATCTGGATAATATATTTAGAGCTTAGCATTTAAAAATCCTGAATTTCACTGTGTTTTACACCAAGGGTACATTAAAGAGTTTTAGAGGATCCACAAGTTCCTCAAAATTGTGCACAGAATTCTGAGTAGGCATATGTTCTTGAGAAACAATCTGTAGCTCTCATTGGGTGAGTTTGTGAGCCTCAGTGAGGTTTAGATGAAAAAGCTAATTTACAATTAGATTGCCCAAGTTATTTTGTAAATCAGCTACTTGGGGAGAATAACTGATCTCACTAATGGGATTCTAGAGAATGAAATTGTGTGGAAAGTTTCAATTAATTTCTTTAAATAGACCGAGCAGTGACACACTTGTGAATAGATCTTAAAGGAAGACGGTATATTACTTGGTCTTGCCTTCTCTGTCCTGGCGTGCTACTTTATTGGAATCATCTCCTATTGACTTGTTGGCCTTCAGTGAAGATTGAGTCTTGACTGTTTTAAGCTTTCAGTCAATATAAATAACTCTCTCCTTGTCCGTCTCATGATACCTTGATATCATAAGTGCCTCCCCGCGATGCTCATCGGTGACTCGGCACCTTCCTGCATGTGTGCACACACTCCCTTCCTGCCACACTGTCATTATGAGGCTGGGCAAACCTGTGCCAGATTGGAGTTGTTTCATGTGGATTTTCCTATCATCTCTGCACTGCTGTCATCAGGGATACAAACTGTTCAGACTCTAGGTAACATCTTTCTTGATTGTAGCTAAAAAGGACATTAAAAGAAAAAACTCTCTAAGACTGAATTTCTAGAGCAATTTAATTTTCAAGGAGACTATGGTATCTCATGAATCAGAAGCCTGGATTTGAATCAGGGTGGATTTAAACTGGTGATTTAAATAGGTGAAAAGCTTAGTATTCCCTTACCAATCTCAAAGCCATGCAATTCCCCCGCGGCCATGGTAAAAGCAAATAAGCAGGGCCACAGGTTTTACTTTGTTATCTAATTGTATTACATGCAGGACTCAGTCCTTGCTCACTCATAATGAATCTGAATTGGCAACTTTTTTCCATTGACCACTGAAGGAAGCAACTTCCCAGAGTTATCTGAGAGAATAGATAGAAAAAGAATAAAAGAAAGGAAAGCGGAGTTGCAGGTGTGACTCAGTGGTAGAGCTCTTATCTATCATAGAGAAAACCCTGGGTTCAATCTCAGGAATAACAAGAAGAAATCAATATTTCCCATGAGAATACTAAGAATATAAAACATAAATATGTGAAGCAATAGCAAAGCAAATTAGAATGACTCTAAACACAGATGTTAGGAATATGTTTCATAAGAAGAGATATTTGCTGATAAAGAAGACTGGTGAGGAGACTGGGGACATAGCTCAGTGGAATAAATGCTTGCCTGGTAAGCACAAGGTCCTGAGTTTGATCCCTGGTACCACCAACAAAAGAAGAAAAAAAAAAAAAAAAAAAGACATGAAAAAGTCACTTCCAGTAAGAGCTTCCAATAGGACAGTCTTGGGCCAGCCTTGGAGCAGTGTGGGCTATGGATGTCACCAAAAGCTGGAATCTTCATGAGGAAGTTTATAAAAGCACAGAAGTAAGAAAAATGAAGCTAAGCACAATGAACAATCAAATGTGTTTAGTGGAAGAAATTCCATTCCTGAGAGAAATGGTCAGCTATGAGAACAAAGCAGAGCTGGGTTTACATTCCAGGACTGTTTTATTAACTCATTAATTCATTCTACACACATGTAGAGACCAGGAAACCATGAGGCTATGGCTCTGTGCCCCTGTTGCAAATGATTCCCCTGTTCTTATGTAGTAACCTTTCAGAGGGAGAAAAATCATGAACAAATAAGCACTTAGTAAAAAATAAAACAGGTCTATTTGGCAAAGAAGACCTACAGGGTCCCCCGTGGCCTTGAGGAGTGTGAGATATCCCAGAGTGAGGAGCTCTGGGCCTAGTGGAGCAGCGCTACCACCTCAGGGCCTTCTGAACACTGTCGCTGCTCTATATCCCTTCTGTTCAGAAGTGGTCAGCAATAAAACCCTATGATGCTGTTGTGCACACCATGCAGAGGGCAGGAGCACTGGCTCTGAGCATGTTCAGAGCTGCCCTGGAGTTTAAGACTATCTTACCGTGAAGATGAGGAGAGTTGTGCAGCACGTGTCAGCTGTGCTTTGGAAATCACCTGCTCAGAGGTTCTGTTTTCTCTCTTTGAAAAGATATTCTAAAATAGAAACATTTATACAGAGAATATGTTCTGGTTTGAAAAATACTACTAATTCCAGATTATTCCATGTTCGTTCAGTTGACCTATCTGTAGAATGACTTTTCTTTCTTTTCTTTTCTTTTCTTTTTTTTATTTTTTTTTTTTTTTTTTTTTTTTTTTGAAGCAGATACATCATTAACTGACCAAATCATAAAAACACCATGTAGATACCTCAGTTCATCCTTCTAAGCCTGTTGATCTGGTCTTCCCTATTTCTAGCATCCCCACCTTCCACAAATTGGGTAGGAAAAAAATCTTTTTCTTTATTCTACCTTGTGAAGATGATAATTTGAATGGCCACAGGAAGTAATTTGCCTCTTCGAAATCTTTTCCAACAGTATAGATCTCATGAATCAGATCCTCCATGCAGATGATGCCATATTTACCAAGAGATCGAGCAATCAGTGAATTATCTGTCAAGGCAATTCGCTTCTTACTGACTTTGCCATAGCCACACTTGTGTATTAGTTCATTCACTGACTTCAGGTTTGGGTGCCCCCATGCAATATATGGCTCCACAATTCTCAGCATGTTAACTGAGGCCTTGTTGAGCTTAATGAAGGTACCACTGAAGATTTGGTGAAGGCGAGGAAGCTGCAACACCTTGCGGACCTTTGGGCTCACACCACTGATATCCCTGATCCGGACGACAAATACCAGTTTGAGCTCTGCAGAGACATAGAAGTTGCCAGCTTTTCTTGCCATCCTAGCCATTCAGATCTCAGTTCTGTACATCTTTCTGTACTCCTTATGATAGTGCCTGGCTTTTTCATAGATGAGATTCCTCCTCACCTTGTGAAGCATCTTCTGGGCAAACTTCTTTCTCAGGCACCTTATCTTCAACTCTGCAAAATGTCTTTGCTTTTTCTTAAGGGTTTCTGGCACAGCAGGAACCTTCTTTTTCTTTTCTTCTATACCCTCCATGGTTCTAGCCAGGAAATTAGAATTATTTTTATTTCTATACTGACAACTTTCCCAAGGATAAAACAACTGATCCAATAGTAGAAAGAGATATTCACTCTTCTAATTTGATACTTGAGAGACATAAGTCAATGAAGCATAATTTATGGTTTTTGTACTATCCTCAGGGGAGAACAACCTGTGAGAAGCAATGGCTTGGATTGGATAGACAGCCTTATATAGGCAATAAATGGAAATGTACAGCAGAGCTGCCCTCTGGCCCACAGATGTGATTTGGATGGTTCTTATCACCAACTGTTCTAATACCCACCACCCAAAATGAAGGAAGGAAAGGTTTATTTAGCTCACAGTTACTGGAGGTTTCAGTCCGTATTCAGCTGGCTCCAAGGCAGAGCGACACAGGGCAGAGAACAACTTTTCATGGCTGCAGCAAAGAGCAAGAGTGCAAAAGGAGGTAGCAGCAGCTCAAGCAGCTAGCTTCTCTTTCCTCCTTACATTGTAATGCAAATTATCTGCCCCAGGGCAGGTGCAGCATCCACACCCACAAAAATCAATCACAGTTACAAAATGGACATTCATCTGTATCCCCTTTTTTGTTTAGTTCTATCATTTGAATATTATAGGTGTGTTAACTCAGCAAAATATTCTAAAAGAGTCCAGTAGTCCCTAATAGTATTGGGTCTTCTGCTTGACTGGCAGTGTCAGAAATTGTTGACAAGAGTCCCCTACAGCTCAACATAACAGCATGGTTTTACTTTTTATACTTCATTTTTATACTTTTCTGCTGGATGGTTAAGACCAAGATAAAGCATGACCTATGCAACAAGAGTTGTAGCTTTTGGATCTGATAAGGTCAGTCATATCCCCTCAAGATTTATCCTGACATCCTGTACCTCAGATTGTAGATGTTTGTCAGTGTCAGCCATGTGGATGAGTCATGGCCATTGCTTGGCCAATGTGCTCTCTGTGAAAGCCTGAGAGAATGTTTTCTCTCCTTGTCACTGGTGAGGGGGCTGGGCACACTCTACATCATTGATCACTTTCCTCTTTGGCCCCCGTAATCTCTTTGATCAGAAAATTTGGGACACTACTGAGTTACATGACATTGCAGTACAAGTTCTCATATGTCCTGAGTCTTAATTGACCTTGGAAGGCTAGGGACAAAATGTTGGCTTTCCTTGTAGTCCTCCTTTTTCTCTAATTTTGTTCTGCAAACTTAGGTTGTTAATCCTCCAAAAGAGAAGCTTATTGTTATTTCCATACAACCTAGGCTTTTAAGCTTAACCTCACTATCTGTCTGAATATCAACCATTTTAGGCATAACATGGAACAGGTATTTTTTATCAAATATTGATATGTTGAACTTTAAGTCCCTATACAATATGATGAAAAAATATTTAAAAAATTAAAAGATATTTTTAAAATAGACATAAAGAATTATATAATTCTTATGTCTACACATAAGTCCAGAAATCTAACCATATACAACCTTGTAGCAGGACAGTCCTGCAACATTCCTTTTCTTGTCTCCTGCCTTCATTCACCACCACCTTCTTTTTTGAACAATCATCTACCTGCGAGACAGCACAGCAGCAACCAGCATGTCCTGAGAAGCAGCCTGTATTCAGAAGACCAAAAAATGGTTAGGATAGATGTATAGTTACATTCTCTTAATGAATAGAGAGATTTGTTCTAATAGTGTTTGTAAATAGGATATCATGTGTGTATCTTGTACAACAAATAGCCACTATGAAGAGAGTATGCAATCTGTTAATTATTGGAACTGTCCTACCGATTTGATTTGAAATTGTCTCATTGCTATTTGTTTCTCAATAAAATTATGGAAAAAAATCAATCACAAACTCCAGAAGCCACCCCAAGACTGCATGAGGTTTTGGGGGGACGACTATACACAAACCAAAACAACCACCAATACTCTGAGTTTTTAAGACTACAGAGGAACCACAGTTCACTGTTACTGTCACTGATCCATCTCTCTTTAGGGTGAGTTTTGAACTTGTAATGCACCCTGTAAATAGATGGGCCAAAATTAGCATGCATCAGAAGCTTGGGAAAAGAGAATTCATTTAAGCCCAATGGCAGCCAACATTGAAAAGAAAGTAAAACTTTTAAAATGTAGATACTTAATGGGGCTAGTAATGGAAGGTTTCCATAGTTAGAACATCCAAACTAAGAAAATACATATTTTTAAGGTTTAAAATATTAATTCCATTTTTATTGTAAATAGGGAAAGGGAAATGCATTTAGTTTTTCATTTTGCTTTTGTGATGTTAATCCTGCATGATGTTGAACATTGTTTATTGATATTAAAAATTGCCTCTTTCAAAATTATATCCAGGTATGGATCCTAACAGTGACCTCGATGAAGATAATCTTACAAGTTATGATATTCAGCTTAGTATTGAAGAATCCATTGAAGCCAGGCAGGCCATGTTTCACCCTAAAAGGTAGCATTCTCAATGAACTTTCTTATGGCATTTATTTCTGGACTCTTCCTCAGGGAAAATGCTTCCCTTCTTTGCTGGCAGAAAATTTAACAGCTTTGCGAAGGCACTGCGCACAGGCTTCATGCCCCTTGCTACAAATCTCCACCTCATTTGGAAAACAGAAATCACCTAAATAGAAAATTTGTAGCTGAACTTAACTGGGTAGGATTTCCTTCTTTCTAAATAAGTAGAGTCAAAAAGACAATGAGTAATTTCAACAAATTTGGAAGTACAGTTTATACAACAATTGTGAAGATAGGTCTGAACATTATACAGCTCATTCTTCTACCATCTCAGGTAAACTTTACAAGTAAGCAAATTAGAATATGGATAATATTAACATAGTATGTAAGTAGGAGTTACAGAGCCTAAAACAACAAAAGTAAATTGCTGTCTTGAATAAAACGTACTTCTGACAAAAAGTGAGCCTTAGTTTACCTTCACATCCTACTATCATATTTAGAATCTTATATTCCAGAATTGAGTAAAGCTTTTAAACAGACTCAGGGTGGGAAAATTATTGCTTTTGAGCTTTTAAAGTAGAATTAATAAATTTAAACTTCTGGTCTTTTTCATTTTTTCCCTTTCCATCAGCAGATTTTAGAATCTGAGAGTTCTCTGGAAGGCATTAAAACTCTAGAATGCTAGTGAATATTTCTTCTCAATTTGGTTAAATCTTTTTATAAAATTATATGCTTTTATTTAATTCATGCACACACATAACCAGAGAATTACCATAAAGGTTTAAATCATAACCTGCTGGCCAGTAATTGGGAGTTTGTTTAACTTTTCACTTGTAGATTATTTGACTAAAAACTTCAAATGCTTCCCAAATTCTAAAACCATAAGCTCCTCAGTAACTGTCTAATAATAATTGTCAAGTTCTAAACAACAAACATCTACTGAGTAGAGAGTTTTCAAAATTGAAAACTCTATCTTGAAGATCCTACTTAATCTAACCATTTTTACGAATGAAGAAGTGAACACCCAGACAGAGTACTAGGCTGAACCTAGTAATTCTGACCTTTTTGTTTTGTTTTGTTTTAAATTTTAGGGAAGGGTCTACAGGGTGTTCAGGGTCTCACTACTAGATCAGACTCATAGTGATCCACCTGTTTATCACCTCCCAAGAGCTGGGATTACAGGTGCACACCTCCAAGCCCAGTGTCAATTGCACTCTCAGTGTGCTCTGGGGGTGGGGGCAGGGCCTGCATGGCAGGCCTGGGGAGATCAAGCCCCTGGCCCCTGTGCCTGCTTGCAGGTGCTTTAATCTGCTGAGCTATTTGGCTGGCCCTAGTAATTCTAATCTTGAATTTGATCATTTTCTTCTTTTTCACTGTTCAGGGAGACCTTAGACATAGTGCCATATGTTTTATAATTTCCACTAGTGTTCTTAAATCTGATATATCATAAATAGGTTCTGCATATGACTCAAGCATTGACATTTTAAAAGTGGATATAATCAGTTTGTGTGCATTTCCTTTAGATCTTATTTCAATTATTCCTAAACACTTAATGTAAATTTAAAAAGTTGAATTCCTTAAACTGTATCACTACTATAAATATGGCTTGTTTTTCTTTTCCCGTAGATTTGTGCCACAAAGTGATCAAAACAGAAAACTGGTGGAGGCCATAAATCAAGGTTAGTAAGTATATTTTAGACAGAGGGACAAACTGGAACTATCACCCATAAGCCAAGATGTGTCACTCAGTACATGCATTTAATTTAGGTCACATCCTTGAGCTCCAGGAGTGTATGAAATACAGATATGCACTGGATGAAGCTGATGAAAAAGGATGGCTTCCATTGCATGAAGCTGTTGTTCAACCAATTCAACAGATTCTTGAAATTGTTCTGGATGGTAAGAGAGTGCCCAATTTTTGATTAAATGTAGCAAAACAATGAAGTTACGATTATTTTCAATGATACAAATTTTTCTAGGGGCCAGGGAGATGGCTCAGTGGAGTAAGTGCTTCCCTGGCAAGTACGAGGACCTGAGTTCAATTCCCAGTTCTGCCAAAAAAAAAAATTTTCTAGAATTTGAAAAGGGCAGTGCTCATGTTTTAAACTCAGTAGAAAAACTTAACACATTTTGTGACATTTGGAGATTACCTTTTGCATCTTTTTATCTAAGAATTTTAATGATCGGTAGGAATCTGTTATCAATTATAAGTGATAAAAGATTTTACCTATTATGAATTGATTCAAACATGAAATTTTTTTTAAAGTCATGTTTTAAGTTTTCATCTTGAACTATTAGTTGACTTAATAATTACCAAAAGATTATCATGTATTGCAACACGTAGTTCTTACATCCATTAGTTTTTCTAAATGTACACATTAACAGGTATTGTTATTAATCAACCCAGTAATAAACATAAATAATAATTTTTGTATTATAACACACTGTTTTCACATCTCAGAATTTTGCTGAACTTTGAGAGTACCTTAATTTTTAACCTTCAAAGTGGCTTACTATGTACTTCTATGTTTTAGGAGATAATAAGAAATATGTGAAAATTAGTGAACCAGCTAGAAAATCACATGGGTAGAAAGACTGATATAGTTGACATTAAAGGTAGTATTTTTTTCTAGCCTATTCTGACACATTAATATAGTTATTCAAATGTTATTTTCACATTTATATACCTTATTTAACAAAAACAATTTCAGATACAATTTAAATAATAACAGGAGGGATCAGAGAGTTGCTTTATAGGGTATCCAGAAGTAAGAATCAGTAGCTTTTTAAAAAGCCACTCTATTTTGGTTTTCTGATTCTCAATTTGATTAGCAAATCCATGTCTCTCTATTTATCCTCACCACTTCCTGGCAAATTTTTGTCATATTGCCTTCCTAGTCTTCCCACTATCATCAATTACTGATCAATTGATGTGTATAGTATTGAGTTATTCTGATCTATGCAATATCATTTATGTAAATATTTGAAAATTTTCAACATAATTCTTGGTCATTTCAGCATCCTATAAGACACTCTGGGAATTCAAGACCTATGATGGAGAAACACCCTTGACTTTGGCAGTCAAAGCTGGTCTGGTGGAAAATGTGAAGACTTTATTAGAAAAGGGAATATGTCCCAATACAAAAAATGATAAAGGAGAGACACCTCTTCTGATTGGTAAATGATATTTTCTCTAAAACTTACTTAGATTGAAATCATAAATATTTAATATATTTAATAAGTATTTACTAGAAACCACTGAGCATAGGCCTGAATTATGTAACCTCAATTCCTCCCATTCTCTGAGATCCTCTGCTAACTCCCATTCACCCACACTATGATTTTGCTTTTCTGTCCCAGAAAGGTAATATGAAAATAGCTACATCCTGTAGAAGGATGCATCTCAATGATAGAGAATGCACTAAATTCAGGAGTGGTCTGAACTAGTTTTAAGTAGACCAGAGATGTAAAGTCTAAAAGAATACACTACTCTCTAAGTAGGATCCAGTCGGGAAGAGGATTATGTGTGCAACAGCATGTAACCACAGGGAAAAGATAAGACTGGAGAGTCCAAAGACAAACAACAGGTCCTCATTAGAACAGTAAAACAAAGCTAGAACACAGTGGAAGCAGTAAATTCTGAAGAGCAAATGCAGAGCTTAGAACCTATGAGGGCATCACAACTAGGAAAGGACAACAAGGTTGTGTCCTTGACACAACCAAGGAAAGATGGCAAATCTAAAGGTATCATCAATCAGTTTCTTCTCAAACTTGGGAATCCTGCTACTTGTTGAACAGCAAGAATTAAAAGGACTATTTGTGGAAGCAGAAAGAGGTGAGATCAACTACAAATGACCAGAGGTGTTATTTCCTTTCTCCTATGGACTGTAAGATGATGCAGCAAGAATTTGGACTTTGACACCTGAAATCTGTGGATTTCTAGCCTAGAGGTGACATCGTGATTTAAAGAAACTTAGAAAAGTTGTAACATTCCTCAAGCATCTTCATTTGATAGTGTGCATTGAGCAACATTAGGATAACAAAAGGCCTTGAGAAGTCACATTAGACCAGATGGCATGCTGGGCAACCTGGATACAAGGATGAACGAGGCTTCCTGAAGGAATCTAACAGTGGAAGCAGACCTGTGGTACATGTGCTGGAGCAGGCTTCTCTGTGTCCCTGAAAGCTCTAAACTAGTCACCATCACTAGTTAGTAGGAGAGCCACATGTGATTTAAATGAGAAAATTGTGCCATAAATGCTATAATAAACGTACATCACAGTGAATCAGGTACATAATGAAGTAATGAATATGCAGAGACTTCAAGCAGCTTAAACTCTTTGAATCAGGTCTTCAGGGACAAAGAAATGACTGAAGCAGGTTGCCAATCTGAGCTGACTGTTCCTCACTCTCACCCCATGTCAGACCTTTGAGCTTTTCTGAATTCAGATTAGAACAAACGATTTTGAATAAGATGACTATGACACTGGCAAATATTCGTTAACAAGAGAGACATAAAGCAAGCAAATAAATAAAACTTATTTTTAAAAGAAGTCATTTTCCAACCACATTTCAGAGGTCTAAGGTTCACAAGGTGAGTTGGCCACCATGACAAGAGCTTCCAAGATTGCTCCAAAAGTCACCATTTCCTAGGAAGTGAGCAGGAAAGAGAAGAGCAAAAGCCCTGGGAACACATCTCCAATTTAAGAAGATGACCCAGACATTGCTCAGAGCCGTCCCATTCATGCTGTGTTAGTTCAGATTGTGTTCCACCAACAAGGGAGTTTGTGGTACTTAGTTCTCACCTGGAGAGTCCATAACCAGCTAACACTTGGGAGTTTCTGCTGCTAGTAGGAAAAGGGATAAAGTAAATGCTGAGAAACAGACAGCAGCTTTTATACACATATTAACCAGACTGTGTGTCACAATAGCACTGTGAGTTTCTTTAATAACCAAGAGCTCTTTTCCTAGGCAGGTTCTTTTTTTTTTTTTTTCCCTAGGCAGGTTCTGAAGCAATTAAGAAGAATATCTTCTTCTGGGTTATTTTTCACTATTAATATGATCTGTAATATTTAAATGCTAGCATATGCTGTAGATATTTGCAACAACATCCATGAATTTAACATTTTTATAGATAATCTTCAATTCCTGCAAAATGGACACATTTTCAGAGTTGTATACTATTTCACTTTGCAAACACAGAATTATTGAATGAAAATATGCTACAAATAGTTAATTAACTTATGGGGGAGGGAAAATATTGTTCCTTTTTTGTGTAATTCCATTTTAACATGCTTCTTAGCCTGATATTGTAATCTTTGTATCTATTTATAGAATATCTATAGATGACCAAAAAACCCTGTAGTTACTTTCAGTCCCTCTAGCGACCTGTTTCCTTATGAGTGATACAGCTCTTTCTTAGCACACTTTGATGTATCACAGCCGTGTTGCACAGTTGCTTGCTGTGTGACAGCTATCTGATTTGTGGTGATCTGACACTTACTAAGGCCTTTTCCCACATTCCCTGTCTCTGTCCATCCCTCAAGACTTGGTGTCACTTTACTCAGTTGGAGATGCACAAGCTCATCCAGGGTAAGCTGGAAGCTCGGGAGCTGTTGGGCACAACCTCCCAGCCACTCCCCTCCATCCTTCTGACCTTCCCTCATGGTCACATCACTTCTTTTCATTTGTGACATTTTCTTTCTCACAAATCAATAAGGATTCTTTTCACTCCATCTCTACTTTCAATCTTCCAGCCCTTGTCTAGATGCCTCAGGAAAATCTCTCTTCTCTACCTGTTCTGTGAGTCAGAGAATCACTCATAGCTAATAAGTAAGTTACATGTGCAATGTATATGAAAAAGAATGTACTAGAAAAAGAAAGAAAATGACAAATTCATAATAAAAAAGAAAAGCCAACCAGCTGTTAATATTCAAAAGGGCCTATAATTTAAGTAAAGTTTTTAATATTATTCTCTACATTAAACTTAAACTTGGTATTTTTAAAGCATCTGTTATTGAAGATATAAACTTGGAAATTAAAAAACTAAAAACTACTAGAAAGTTTCTAAAGAATACTAAAGAATTTCTGAACTTGGGAATTTTAA